CCTGATGCCATGGTGCTGGAGTTACAGTCACTGTGAACTGGTAACTGAACTTGGGTCCTTAAGAGCAGTGCACACCCTTGATCAGTAAGCAGGTCTCTGGCCCATCCCTCCCCTCAGTCTGCCATAGCATCTTGCGCTGCAGTCTGCCCAGCACCTTCCCACACCCTTGTGCTTTAGCTTCCCATAGCGAGGGCGCAGAACCTGTGATAGCCAGGTTCTAGAGATGAATGAGAGGCCCCAGTTCTGCACAAAGCACCCTGGTGAAGTTTTGAGGAGCAGTGCAGACGGTCCCAGCAGCCCCCACAGGCTAACCCTGCCACGCAGCACGCGAGAGCCAGCTGATACCCATGCTTCAGGCCTTTTCCAGGCAGATGGAACTGAGATGGATAGAAAGAGTATAGACCCAAAGCTCCAGGTGTAACATACTGTTTTTGAATGCTGGAGACCAAATGACTCACCACTCTAACATCCTATGCCCTGGGTCCCCAAGCATGGCTCACTGAATCCCTGTTAGGGTTACTCTCCTCTTCTATCCTCCCCTGGCTTCAAGATGAAGTCCCATGGGTACCTTGTAATCCAACTCCTCTCTCGCCTTCTGCCTCGTCTCACGTCACGGGGGTCCAGATCTGTGCTCACACTTCACTTTACCCAGAGTGTCCCAACTCTCTCCACTCTCCTTGATATGGGGCCCCTGGAGATGCTCCCTGTAAGAGCCCTGTCCTCTCACACCCATCACCGCTAGCCCATCCCCGTCTTCTCACACCCGTCACCGCTGCCAGCTAGACTCCTGCCTAGACTACACAGACCAGGAGATCAGGACACATTCGCCATTCATCTCTGCAGCTGTTCATAGTACCTGCTCAAACAAGAAACGAGTGTGTGCTGCACTCCGGGCAGTAACGAATCACAGGTTAGTCAATAACCAGGAGAGCTCCCTCTGCCTCAAGGCACTAAACTGTACTGTACTAGAGCCTCGATCCCACCGATACCTTCTGGTTGTGCCTTCCCTCACAAGCCTGGCTCACAAGACTCTGGTTTCAGGTCTCCACTCACCTGGCTATGGATGGGTTTTTCCCCGAGACCTCCTGTGGGAAACCAGGGGCTGTAAGAGCGCCACAGAGGTTACTTTCATGGAAGATGTGGCTGTGGGAAGAGACCACAGTCCTGTAGGAAAACACCTCATCCCTAAGGAAGGGCATAGAGGTCTAAGGACACTGTGCTGAGGTCCAGACACCCAACCCAGAGAGGTTCCAGGGCTATGTCTCTGTCCCTAAGGTGATGAGATTCCAAGAAAGGCCAGATCCACCCAGAAAGTGTTATGATTTCAGGAGCCTACCCTGCTCTTCGTGGACCGCAGCAGATGGCATCATGATCTCCATCCTTTGCCCCCTCTGTGTCCGTGCCCTTTCCCATACATCTTGGAAACCCGCTCACTGAAGAGTCAAAATATTTTCCAGCCCTTGCCTTGAGTTTGGCTGTGTGACATGCTGTAGCAAACAGAACAAGGACAACGTAACAGTGTCCCAGTTCTGAGCCCAGACTAAGAGTCATCACTCCTTGGTGCTGGCCCTCAGATGAGTTTGACCTTCTCTAGCCCACTGGTTCCAGAGTCACAAAGCTAGGGCAGCTAGGCCTAGAATCCACCCCTCATCAGACTCAGATGCACGAAGGCATCTGCAGAGGCACAGTGGACTGTAGGCGACCTTCAGGTGACCTGCACATCCGTAAGGGGAAATGATCGCCACTTTGTGTCATTGTTCTCTCTTTCCCTCCTTCCCCATCCTCCACAGACACACACACACAGATACACACACAGAGACACACACAGACAGACACACACAGACACACACACACACCACACACACACACAGACACACACACACACAGAGACACACACAGACACACACACACAGACACACACACACACCACACACACACAGAGACACACACACACACACACACAGACAGACACACACAGACACACACACACCACACACACACAGACACACACACACAGACACACACACGCCACACACATACACCACACACACACACACCACACACACACCGCACACACACACACAGACACACACACAGACACACACACGCAGACACACACACACAGACACACACACGCAGACACACACACACAGACACCACACACACACAGACACACACAGACACACACACAGACACACACACAGACACACACACACAGACACACACACACAGACACACACACACACCACACACACACAGACACCACACACACAGACACACACACAGACATACACACACAGACACACACACACACCACACACACACAAACACACACACACACCACACACACACAGACACACACACACACACAGACACACAGACACACACACAGACACACACACAGACACACACACAGAGACACACACACACAGACACACACACACACCACACACACACAGACACACACCACACACACACAGACACACACACACCACACACACACAGACACACACACACACACACACACACACAGACACAGACACACACACACAGACACACACACAGACACCACACACACACACACACACACACACGGGGGGGGGCATGGCTGGGGGATATAACCCTATGAGTCCATTCAGGGTTACTTGTGTGTGTATGTGTTTAGTGCTAACCATTTAGGACTAGGTAGACTATTAGGAGGTTCATACCTAGGGAAGACTGGGGTGGGCCTTGTTTGATTGCTCCCATCCACACTGGGATGTGGACTGGTGATGTCACTGTGCAGGTCTTGTTTAGGTGACCATATCGGTAAGATGTCACAGGCAGCATTATCACACTTTGGGTTTTTCCTGCCATGCTTCTTTGACACTCTGGAAAGGTCAGCGATGGCAGCAACTGTCACCAAAAGTGCTTTTCAGCCACGGCCCTCGAGTTTTCCATCTTGCTGCACGGAAAGCACAATTCACAAGTGGCTAGCAAGGGCGCCAGGACTTTCCTAGCAATGCTTCACCATGGATCAAGTGGATATTTTCCTACCACATGAAGTCTTCTAGGATCCAAAATAAACTCCAGCATTTACAGTCTAGTTCAACATAAAAAGAAACTCCTGTATTTTCCCCAAAACACTTTTTTTGGAAGACATACCTAAAATTAAACTGAATGAGCTGATAATTCATGAACCGTCTTTAAAACCGATGTCTCTAACCACCCGGGAGGCTCCTCTCGCTGCTAAACAGCCCCATTATCCACTCTCCGAGTCTAAAGCAATTTCCTAAGCTTAGGAGAGCATGTGCCCCTGGAAGCCACCCATCCTTCCAGAGTCAAACCAGAGGCAATCAGCATCAATGGAAGAAGCGTTTGTGTGTGTACACTTAGGGTGGGGTTGGGACAGGATGCTGAGACTAAAGAAATGGAACCACTGTGCTTTCCCTTTGGTGAATAAAACATTTTAAACTCTGCAAGTAAAAGTGTGGGGCCTGCCAGGCCCTGGTGGCCCACACCTTTAATCCCAGAGCTCCAGGGGCAGAGGCAGAGGCAGGTGGATCTCTGTGAGTTTAAAGCCAGTATGGTCCACAGAATGGACTCCAGGGCAGGCTCCAAAGCTACACAGAGAACCCCTGTCTCGAAAAAGCAAGGCTCTGGCTTGGTGGACGGAGTGCTCGTCATGCAGGTACAAGGACCTTCAGTTCATTCCCATATGAAGGCTAGGCTTGGTGGTGTGCACTAGTCATTCTAACACCGTGGAGGTGGACACAGGTGGCCACAGGCTCACCTGGCCAACCAGTCTAGACTAGTCAGTGAGTTGTTCAAGGTTTCCAGGGTCACAGGGCCTGTGAGAGAAACCTGTCCCAGAAAACACATGTGATGTTGACCTGTGCATCCATGGGTACACATGTGAATGCATAGTCCCCTACACACACACAAACACAGGCAAACTCACACAAACCTATGCAAACACACCTAAACACACACAAACACAAACACACAAACACGCGCAAGCACACCTAAACACACGCAAACATACATACAACATACATACACAAATACACACAAACACGCAGACACACACACAAAAGTGACAACGACATAGCCTTGGAGCCAGACATGCTGGCACACATTTGTAATCCCAGCACTCTAGAGCTGAGGCAGGTGTGGTTTAGAAGCCAGCCTGAGCTATGAAAGACTTTATCTAAAGCAAACAAACAAAAGGTCCCAGGGTGTGTGTCATCACTGATTCACACTTAACTCTCAGTGTTTCAGGTAAGGGCAAGTACAGCCTCTTCCAATGCCTGTTAACACTGACGGTTGCTTTGAGAAGTGGCTACACATCCTGTAGAGGGGCTTCCTGGCCCAAAGCTAATATCTTTCAGAAGGTGCATTATAAAAGGAAACCATTGTCTGGCATGTGGCTGGCTCAGGACAAGCACCGTCATTCTAAAAGGAGATTAAAAGGTTGGCAAAGGGGAAACAGAAGGCTTTGGTGTGTTCATCCCTAGCCTTGGGGGCTTGGCAGACTATGGGAGGAAGCCCTGAAATAATAAAGAGACTGCTTGCATCAGTGGGCTGGCTGCCTGCCCCCTTCCTTCACCCCATCCTGCTTCAGAAACCATTCCGCTCCAATACAGACACCACTGTTAAATGACAGGAGGAAGGATGAAAGGGATTTTCACATAATACCACCTTAAGTCACATGAGACCAAGCCCAGAGGTCAAATGCTGGCAGTTTCCCATGGTGCAATGTAACCCAACGTAATAAATGACAAGTCCCCTCTCAACATGCAAATAAACAGAGATTGTAAGGAGCAGTCAATTGTGAGATGGGGTGTAACTGCAAACTGAACCCCAGCTAATCCCTCTGGTAGTATCTGCTATTGAATCTGTATTTTTAACATACATTCTAACCAACTCACAAAATATCCAGTACTGCTTATCCTTTCTTGTTGGGGAAATGTGAGCTTCCAGGCTTCTTGGAACAGTGTCTTGAAAGAAGAATGACTTACCTGGAAAGCAGCAGCTTTCCCCGAAGCTGCAGGTCGGCTGCACAGTCCTCAGATTGGCAGTTCCTTTCAAAAACTGTCTGTGGGAGAGAAAAACCAGAAGGTTGACACAGGATCTAAATGAATGAGTAATGGCCAACCACTGGCTTCCAAACCAGGTGTCTTCCCCGAGCCCTCCAGGCACTCCCCTCACAATCCCAAGAGGCCAGCTCCCTGGCACGTGGAGGGGACTTTCTCAGGGTTCAGGGAAGACCTGCCACCTGACACCATGAGTACATCTCTTCTTTGTCCTAATTCTCAGCTTCCTGGGAGCTTCAAGTAGTTCCTTCTAGAAGCATGCAGGAGGGGCTGGGTGGATGGCTCAGTCAGTAAGAACACTTCCTGTGCCGTCTCAGGACCTTGTTTGAATTCCCATCTCTCTCATGAAAGGCCAGCCATGGTCACGCACGACAGGTGACTTTCGGCCCGAGCTGGTCTAGGAATATCTTTTCGATGCTCTCAGATATCAGTGACCAACCACTGTGTAAAGTATACTGAGATGTCAGCCTCTCATTTCTCCCATGTTCTCTCTTAGGGAGGAAGGAACCATTTTCTGCAGGAGCAAGGGGGTCATGTTGCATTATAGTCGCAGAGGGACTGAGACTTGGGGCTGAGGACGCAAGAGGACAGGGATATTTTAGCAGCCAGTGGTAAGCAGAAAATGTCACCAGGGCTGGGCCTCAACAGTCGAAGCCTGGAGTTCAGTGTGTCAGTCAACGCTGGCCTGAGTTCCACAGGTCCAGGGATGCAGAGTGTCAGCTTGCCTGTGGAGGCTGACCATACAGTGGGGAGTGGCTCTGGCTGAGGTTGCTAGCCCTTTCCCCAAAGTATAAGAGGATGAGAGAATGTGCCCCTCCCTGTGGTCTCCACCTCCCTGGTGCTCTGATCTATGAGAGCATCCTCTCTACTAGACAACGGAGATCTCCCGCAGCACCCCCTACTCTTCTACCTCAGGAGGGTTTGGAAACTGCCCTTCGTTAGCTGTAATTTATCAAGCTTCCAACTCCTTCAAGGATACTGCTCAGTTGGTGAGGTTTTCTTCTCCCTCCTACCAAGGGTAGTTGTGGGTGATTTGTTCCCTTAGACTATCAGTTCATATGGCCTCTCAGGGTGCCAGTGTGACTCCAGCAAGCCTGTTGGCCAACAGAGAGTCTAGACTCTACCAGACAGGGTAATTTTGCCCATGGAAATTCATAATCCCATGCCACATTTCCAAAAGAATAAAGTGTCCTAGCCAGCATTCCCTTCCTTGATTATCATGGAAGTCTTGGGGAAAAAAGTAACTTCCTGTGTTCTTTTGGATCCTACCGAAGCAAGAAAAAGCCAAATTCCAAAGTGGCTTCAATAAATGGTTTCTCTGATGTCCCATAGCCACCAAGGAGGGAACAGGGTAAGAGGGTGTGGGGGTTGGGCAGATGTTCAGGGTAAGAAGAGGGTGTGGGGACTGTGCAGGTCCAAGGTGAAACCTTTGTTACTGTGTAATGACTTTCTTTGTGTGTAGGGATAGGTTGCGACTCAAAGTCCATTTTCCCTGATACTCAAGTTTTGTCTGATAAAATCTTTCTGTCCCCAGGAGCACCCTTGAATGAAAATGAGCCTTTTTTTTATGCATTTGTTTTTTGAAAATGAACTTTTTACAGACAGCATAGGATGACGTCTGGGAATGGGAAGAGATGGGACTGTGGGCGCTGTGGGACGTTACTTTAACTATGTAAAGGCCTATTACATTTGTTTAAGCCGCATTTGTTTAACTATGTAAAGATGTGTTACATTTGTTTATATTTGTTTAACAATGTAAAGATGTGCTGGCAAGCAGAGAGAATAAGTAGGAGGGGGAATCTAGGAGAGGCGGGGGGGGGGGGGGGCACTTGGGGCTAGTCAACTGGGTAGCTGCCAGCCAGACATGGAGGAAGCAGAAAAGTAGGACACACAGAATGAAAGAAAGGTAAAAAGCCCTGAGGCAAAATGTAGATGAAGAGAAAAAGGTTAAATTATGAGCTAGTGGGACACATATAATATAAGGCAGAATATTCATAACTAATAATAAGTTTCCATGTCTTGATTTGGGACCTGGTTGGTGGTTCAAGAGAGCGTGTTACAGGAGGAGGTGGGGATGGGACAAAGTGTGATGGAAAGAGGTAGAGACAAACAGATTTGCGTGGCTCCTTTAAGGGAGGTTTCCTGACTCACCATAGCGGCAAAAAACTACAAGGCTTCTAAGAAGTCCTGCTAACAACTAAATGGTGTGTACAAGAGTTGGCAATGGCAGTGACCACATTTCCAAGCCAACAGCATGTTGCTGGATGGCAGCATAGACCAAGGCTCTCAGTTCTGGTGGTAAAAGTACCCCCCCCCACACACACCATCTTGGATAGACCTTGGCTAATACAGCTGTGGCTTTCCTTTTAGCAATGTTGTTTACCAGATAAAAGACTCGTGGCCAGAAAAAGATAAAGATTTAGAGTAAAGACAGATCCAGATTTTAAAAAAGCCTCTAAAAGTTCACAGTGTGTTTTAAAATATACATAGGCTTTGGAGAGAAAAAAAAAAAAAACCAGAATAAAGGTTTTAATTTTTTTTTTTATAAGAGAGTAGCTGGGTATGGTGGCACACATCTTTAATTCCAGCACCCAGGAGGCAGAGGCAAGATTTCAAAGCAAACCTGGTATACAGAGTTAATTCTAGGACAGGCAACAGTTACACAGAGAGAAACCCTGTCTCAAAAAATAAAAAAATAAAAGTAAAATATAAAGTAATAAAAAAGCCACATAAAGATGGAAAGCACAAAGAGAGTCTGGATACTGGATACTATGCTATTGTGTTGTCTTTGTATTGTTTGACTGCTGAAGAAATAGCAAAAACTGTTAAAAAAAATACTGCTAGATTAATCCAATTTATATATTTTTAAAATACTTTAACTTCAAAATTTAAGTCTAAGGACAGGTTACTGGGGAAAAGGATTTCTATTTTTGTTTCCACAGAAAATAAAAAGCTGTGAATTCCTTCCAGACTAATACGGTTTGATCAAGCAAGACCCCCTGAAGCAGTGTCCCAGGTGATCCAACATTCAAAACAGCTGGGACAAGGTAGCCTTGCAGACTACAGCCAGGATTTCTGCATCTTCTTAGGATTCCCAAGACAGCGTCCCCTACCAGCAGGAAGCAGTTTGGAAAGAACAATGCCCAAACTCTCAAATATTACTAATAAATATTTGTTTTCATTTATATGGGATTGGTTATAAATGGTTAATAACCACAACTAATCTCTTTAAAGGTAAAAAGGGGATTATGGTATAGATATGGATGCTTTGCTTTGGAGTAGATTTTCATTTATTGATACAAATTTAAGGTCAATTTTGTGATATGTATATTTCTCCTCTTGTTTAGGTATTGTGTTTATATAGCCAATTTAAAATGTATAATTTAGTATAGATTTTAGATAGTCACCTATAGTAGTCAAAATGAAGTTATTTAGAATTTCTAGATATACACAGATATATTTGAGATATATGGATACTATCTGAGATAGATGGATAAATATTCTTCAAACCTTTCAAAGACCTACAGAATATGGCATTTAAAATCATTTAGGACTTTTCTTAACAGTGAGGCACAACTGCTCCTGACAAGACCACCTGTGTCAGAAAGAAAGATGGACATCAAAGAAACTCGTTATGGGGTTTGCTTCCAATATGGCAAGACTAGCCATTTGGGCAAGATACTGCTCTTGTCTGGACTGTTTGACTTTATGCTGTATAAACTGGACATGCAGGACCCACAGAAAAAAGACTGCTAAAACAAGATGGACATTACTGTAGAGTTCCTGCTTCATGGAAGAGTCTGCCAGACAGTCTACAGGAAACAGAGAAAAGTGACTGACAAACTGCCAATCAGATGGACAGTTTAAAGTTTCCTGCTTTGCTGAAGAATCTGCCAGATACACTATGGCCTATGAGCTGAAGATGGAACATTACAGAAGAACTTCGGGTGACTAACCAGGCAGTGAGTTGTCTCTGTCATTTCTAGAGTTTATATATTATCCTTCTGTGGTCTTTGATAGAGTTGAAGACAGATAGTTATGGTTATAGTTTTCCTTAGTTAGGATTAAAGCTAAGTTACATATAAGACTTTAGACTCACAAATATAGGATAGATGATAGAATATTTTCTTCAATTATTGATAATGTTAATGGACTAAATATTAACTATAGTTCTTACTTGATAACTGTTTTGTTATATATTTTACTATGTTATAGTTAAAACCCTTCTTTTTATTTATACAGAAAAGAGGAGATGATGGGAGATGTCATTCTTTAAATGTGTTTCTCTTATTGGTTAATGAATAAAGCACTGTTGGCAAATAGGAAGGCAAGATAGGTGGGACTAGGAGACAAGGAGGATTCTGGGAGATATAGTAAGAGATTCACGATGTAGAGACTTGAGAGAACAGAGGTCTGGACCCTCTCTCCAGTAAGATAAGACCACATGGAAATACTTGGATGAATAGAAATGTGCTAACATTTAAGACAGAGCTAGCCAATAAGAAATGCTAGTAACAGGCCAACAGCTTTATATCTAATACAGTGTCTCTGTGTGTTATTTGGGGCTGACGCGGCTGTGGGACCAGGCTGGCGGGAAAACAGCTCCTAACAGAGCACCCTGAGGCTTCCTAATTGATGGTGAAACAGCTTAAGTTGTGAACCTGTTTTAGTTTAGATGAAGGCATTTTTCAAGGTTCTACACAGAATGTCTCCTCTAACACTCCTTACAGTGACACACAACAGTCCTTCATACAGAAGAATAAAACTAATGACTGCTTCCCTGCCATCAGCAGGTCTGGGGCCAAAGAGAAAGTCATGTGACTCGCAAGCCAACACCATAAAAAAACAACAGCTCTCTCCTAGTTATTCTTGCAATTTAGCTACTCTGAACCAAGGGAACCCAACCTTCTGTAAAGAGGTTCCCATGTGATCAAGCTGTCACGGGAGTGGAGCTCTCGGGGACCTCAGAACCCCTGGTGGGAACTCAGCAGATGAGGTGGCT